ATCCCACTCCCGTTGTCTTTACTGCAGGAGGCTTCCATGGAGAACACTTCAGCCAGAGTAACAGGGGCCACAGCTCTCTTGGTTAACCGCATAGATTCACAGGTCTGATCTCCTGCAATCTAAACCCAGATCTGCCACCGGGAGCAGCAAGGGGACCCTAGGCATGTTGCTGGCCTGTAAAGTGGGGGTAATGACAGTGCCAACCTCATAGGGCTGGCATGAGGATGCACTGGGATAATGATGGGCATGTTTCAGGTCCCATACTTGTGAACTGTATTATCACTTCAGGTGCCCTCGGAAAAGTTCTCCCCTCCCTGGAACTCACTTTCCCTATCTGCAAAGAGGTGGGCTGTGGCTACGGCAATCTCAAAGCTTCTTGCCCGCAAGGACTAACATTTGCCCTTTGCCATTGCCAAGCAAATGAGTTGAGAGTTGGATGCTTGCACCCGTGTCTGCTCCCACCCCAATTCCATCTCTCTTTACCTGTGTCTGTATTCTCTGTCTCTTACCTGTCAACCATTCCCTTTCTCTGACTTCTTTCCCTTAAGGTAGATTCTCTCTCTGTTGTTTCTCTCCATACTATCAGAAGGGTTTGTAGAGCACTAAATAACAACTGTAATAATAATCATTGTTTATTCAGCCTCTTCCCAGTGCCAGGTCCACACTAAGTTCTTTGCATGAATTAACTCATTTAATTCACACAATGCAAGGATTTCTTACTATTGATTAAACAAAAACATATGGAACACCTACTGTGTGCCAGGCCCTGAGGATCCAGCACTGAACAAAACAAAGACCCTTGCCCTCTTGGGACTTATATTCTAGTGAGGAGACAGATGATAAACAGATAAACATATAAATATTTCCAGTGCTACGACGAAAAACAAAGTAAGGTCGGGGAGAAAGTGATGAAGGGAATCAGTTTATGTAGAATAGTTGGGACAGGCTTTCAGGAGCAGGTGACATTGGAGGAGACCTGGCAATGTGAAAGGCAGACAGCCATGTAGAACCAGGAGGGAGGAGGATTCCTGATAGAAGAAGCAGTGAATGCAAAGGCCCTGAGGCAGGACCATGCATGGGAAGTGTTTGTGGAATTTAGGAACACCCAGGAGGCCAGTGTGTCTGGAGAGGAGTGACAGGAAACAGGGAGGGAGATGAGATCAGACAGGGCCCCAGGGGACACATCACACAGCCTTGTGGGCCATAGTGTGAACTTCGGCTTTTATGGAGAAGGGACCATGAAGCACAAGTTTCTGGGCAGAGGAGGGATATTGTCTTAGAGTTTGACAGGATCCTACCAGCAGTAGACAGTGTGTGTGTGTGTGTGTGTGTGTGTGTGTGTGTGTGTGTGTGTGTGTGGCTGGTAGGGGAACAAGAGTGGAGAAAGGTAGATCATCACCTCCTTTTACAGGTGCAGAAATCAATGGAATTTCAAAAAAGTCCAACAACTGGCCCAAGCCCACACAGCTGTTGAACAGCAGAGCCAGGCTAGCATACTAGCTGGAGCTTGATTCACAAGCAGTCCCCCGCCGCCACCCCAGCTGCTCACTCCTCCTGGAGTTCAGTGTACACCTGTAAAATGGAGACACAGCTCAAAAAACAATGTTGCAGGGCTGTCCAGCAACAGAGTAGCTTCAGAGTGGGTTCCATCTCTGGGTTCAGTGGGACTTTTGCTCTGTGACCTTGGGAAGTCATCTGCCTCTCCCCGAGCCTCAGTTTTCACATCTGAGAATTGGGCAGCATTAACCACCGTTTGGGTGTATCGTGGTGGTTAAGAGCACAAGCTTTGTAGTCGGATTTGGCGGGATCCAAGGCCTTGCTCTGCCACTTGCCAGCTCCATGACTTTCGACAATTAACGCCCTTTTTCTAAGCTTGGGTTTACCTCATCTAGAAGATGAAGATCTTAATTCCAAGGGGTAGTTGTAAGGATTAAATGAGATCATGCAGGTAAAGCGCTTAGCACAGCTCCTGGCATCCATCGGGCACTCAATAAATGATCATTATTATTACTGACGGTATCGCCCACACCTCCCCGGTGGGTGAGAGTCTGGGAGAGTGCCTGGTACGCGGTCGGCGTTCGACAAAAGTGAATTCTCTTTTCTGCCTCTCCTGCCCGCCGGCTCCCGGGGGACCCAGGCATTCCGGCCTCCAGCCGCCCCCCCCACGCCGGCCCTCACAAAGGCCCTCATTCATGCCTCGCGCACAAAGCGGCGCATTCACCCGTGTCCCTTGGGCCTCCCGCCCCCGGCCGCCCCCCAAAGCTGGCCATTGGACGCCTCCCCTGCCCGTCAGGCCTGGGTCCTGCCCACGACCGCGCAGCCTGGCTCCGCACTCCGGCGCCGTTCTTTTCCCACGGCTGGCACACTCCGACAACTTCTGATTGGTCCGGTCCACCAGCCGTTCCTCTTGATTGGCGGGCGCGTCCCCCACGGGCGGGGCCGTAGCTTGTCGCAGCGGGCGCCGATTGGCCCCTGCTGCGCTCGTATGGGCGGGGCTTTCCTGACGGACCCGCCCCTCTTTCTCCCCAGGCCGAAGCCTCGGGACGGCCCTGGAAGCCGGTGAGTGCCCGGGGCCCGCTGCCCGCGGGAGGCGGCGGAGCGGGACTGGGCCCGGGGAGGCCGGAGCCTAGGGTCTTCGGATAGGGGCCCCGAAGGCCGGCGCGGGCGGCAGGGGAGAGACGGTGACGCGGCCCCTCACCTTGGGCGCGCAGCGGGACGGCGGCGGGGAGGGGGGCGGGGGGGCGGGGCGTCTACATTCCCCCACCTCTCCCCAACTCAGTTCCAACTGTGTGTAAGGCCGGGTGGAGGTCCTCGATGGAGGCCCCGGGCCCATTCCGCAGACGGGGAAACTGAGGCTTGCTTTGGGACCTTAGACGCTGTAATACCTGAGTCATCGCCTTCAGTCCTCCGCCCCCGGATAACAGTGTCTCTGTTCTCAAGTGTAAAAATCGCAGACTGGAGACAGGGGTCAGGACTGGCAGAGGAAGAGGGGTAGGGAAAGGCATATTTGAGCGCTTAACTTGTATTCGGGCGCTTTTATTTTTACCACTAAATAGTTTAATTGTGTTCACTTAAGGTTATATTGTACCCATTTTACAGAGAGGGGAACACTGCGGCTGGACAGAGGCGGTGACTGCAGGGAGACGGGGTTGAGAATAACACTTTGGAGACCAGCTGTGCGCTGGGTCCCTTAACCTTTTTAATCTCCTAGTAGCTCCCTAAGGAAGGCTGTGGTCCCTATGGCTTAGATGGAGAGGCAGGTTCGAGAGAGTTAAGCAACGAGGAAGAGGAAATTGATCCCTTTGAGGACCCGGGACGCGTTCTCCCTAAATCCGTCTTTAGAATCGCAGCTCTCCCTCTTGACCGTGTGGCCGTCAGCCCATTACCTCCCCTCTTCATGCCTCACTTTCCACGTTGAACAAATGCAGATGCTGCTCGTCCCTATCACATTGGTTTTTGAGATCATTCTATAAATTCAAACCCAGAATGTTGTTCTAGGATCAGAAAAACACTGGCACAGAGTAGGTGCGCTTACCAGTACTTAGTCCTCATTCCACCCAGGAGAAGACTGAAGCTCCGGAGGCCAGAATAACACTTTGTGGTCTTCTTTGGTACTCCTAGTATTCCTTGTGGATTGTGGTGTCCCGTTTCGGGGTTGGGGAAACTGAGGCTCAGAAAGATTAAATGATGTCGTGAGGCGCTGCTTGTTTAAGCACTGGGCTGGGGGGGGGGCAATTTCTCCCAAATTATCTTATTTATTTCCTTGGCCTCAATTCACGGAGAGAAGAGGGAGGCCCAGAAAGCTTGAGCGGGATTCGAACTCCCGGAGTCCTCAGCCCTCTGCGCCACGCGGGTCCTTGACATTTGCCTGCCCGGAGGAGGAGGGGCGCCTGGTGCTGCAGCTGCGGCCGCGGCCCACCCGGCATCAGACTCATCCCCGCCCACCCGCCCCCCTCTCCATCCCCCGGTCCAGGGCCCAGCAGCTCCAGGACCCGCCCCCTTCCCCGAGCCGGCAGGTGCTGGGTGACATCAGAGCCGGGCTCCCTCCGGGTGACGCAACGTGGCCCCGCCCCGCGCTGGACCGCGGAGGTAGTCGCACCTGAGAGCTCAAGCGGCCAGGGCATTCCCGTGCCCCCTCCCCATCTTCCCGATCCCCGCGCTGGCCGGCGGCCCCAGGTAGCTCCGAAGATTCGAGGGTTGAGGGGGCGGCTGGACGCTTGGGTCTCAGGGAAAATGGGGGTTGGGCGCTCAGATTCCTGGATCTGAAGAGGGGAGCTGGGGGCCAGGAACCCTAGGTCTGAGTGAGGACAGCATTGGTAGCCTGGACTCCTAGGTCTTGAGGGAGAAAGGCACTGGGTACAAGACACTGGGTTTGTGGGCCTGGACACCTTGTTCTGGGAGAGGAGGGGCTGGGGGCCTGGATTCCTGGTTCTGGGAGAGGAGGGGCTGGGGGCCTGGACTCCTGGTCCTGGGGGAGGAGGGGCTGGGGGCCTGGATTCCTGGTCCTGGGGGAGGAGGGGGCTGGGGGCCTGGACTCCTGGTCCTGGGGGAGGAGGGGCTGGGGGCCTGGACTCCTGGGTCTAAGGGAGGAGGGGGCTGGGGCCTCTCACTCCTGGGTCTGAGGGAGGAAGGGGCTGGGGGCTTGGATTCCTGGGTCTGAGTGGGGAGAGGCTGGAGGCCTAGGTCTGAGGGAGGAGGGACCTGGGCACCTGGACTGCTGAGTCTAGGGGGTGAGGGGGCTGGGGACAGGACTCCCTGGTCTGAGGAAGGAGGGGGCTAGGAACTCCCACTCCTGGGTCTGAGGGAGGAAGGGCTAGGGGCTCCCACTCCTGGGTCTGAGGGAGGAGGGACTGGGGCCCAGATTTCCGGGTCTGGCCATGGAGGGGACTCTTGAATACTAGCACTAGGCTGAGGTCAGAGGGCTGGATGCCAAGGGCCCGGCCCCTGCCCCAGGGGCGGATCCCTGGCTCCTTTTTCTTTTCCAGCACAGCAGCCTCTGCCCCTCCCAGGGCAGGTGAAAGCACCTGCCCTGGTGACGGTAATGAGCCCCGGCAGAGGTGTGTTCCTACGGGCTAAGGAGGGCGGGGCTGCTGGAGGGGCTCAGCCATTTGAAGCAGAGGCCTGCAGGCCCTCCCTGTCAGGCCTGTGGTCAGTCCTCAGGCTTTGGATGTGCCATCATCCTCACCTCTAGCCTGGCTGCAGTGAGGTGAGAGAGCCCTCTGGGCTCATGGGTCCAAGGGAGGAGGGATTGGGGGTCCAGACTCCTGGCGCTAGGGAGGGGAGGCAGAGGACCAGATGATTGCAAAAATTCTCAAACCTTTCCTGGTCAAAGGTCCAGGGCTGCAGGGGTGGGGGGAGTGGGTGGGGTGGAGTGAGGGTTGGGGCAAAGTCCCAGCGATGGGGCTTGGCTCTGGGTGGATCAGTGCCACACTGGAGGCCGGGGCTTAGCATTGGCACGTGGGGGCCTGGGGACTGGGGGGGATTAGAACTCTGCTGCTTGAGGGCTGGGGCCATTCGTGTGAGTCCTGAGAGCACCACACCTCCAGGATCAAGGCTGCCAGTTTGGGGGTCTATGTTGGGGGTCTGGGTGGAGGTGGGAGGTGTGGTCTGGAGCCGAGTTTCCAGGTGGGAGAGGCTCTGAGTGAAAGGCAAGGGCCTGATGGGACCGATGTGGGGAGGCCTCAAGGGGAGGTGGGTGTTTGGAGGGACCTCTCCGGGGATATATTGGAGGTGGGGGCCCTGGAGGGCAGAGGCAGAAACATTGGGGTAGAGGTGGCGAATATCCAGGCCTTCCTGTGCCTGGTGTGGTGGGGCAGTGAGGAGGACTCTGAGGTGCAGGGAGAGAATAGAGACAGACTCTTTGGCAACAGGGCACAATGAGGAACGGGGTTGTGTTCTTCCTGAAGGCACTCAGACTACCCTGGAATCGCTGTGGTCTGTTCACTGCTGGTCTGTGGGCCCTTTGAGGGTGCGGAGGGGTCTAGCACATTCTCGATCACCCAGTGTCTCCATTCCAGCACATCGGTCACACTGGGCTGTGGCCAGCTGACACCCCAGCTGGTCACCCCCAGACCAGGAGCGCCTCAAGGCAAGGCCCCCTCTGAAGCATCTCTGGGTCCCCAGAATCACTCTAGGCAGAGGCTGGTATCTGAACAGCCCCGTGGAATGTTGGATGAATGCGGAAGTAAATGAATGGGGGCTGTTCTCCCCATCATAAAGAAAAGGAAGCTGGGTTGCAGGGAAGGAATGAACTGATAACTAAGGCATGAGATTGGAGTGTTTTGTTCTGCAGTTGTGGGGTAGACTGGAAATGGTCAAGGAACCTGAGTGACAGAAATTAGACTGACACCTTCCTAGGGCTCACATCTCAGAGCTTGACATCCCCATCATGACCCAGTCTGGCCCTCTTGGTCTCCAATGTAACTTCACCTACCACCTCACGATGCCATGGACACGGGGGCACATTCTTGCCTCAGGGCCTTTGCACTGGCTGCTCTCTCAGCCTGGAATGCTTTACCTCTCAACATTCCCATGGCTCACTCCCTTCATCTCCCTCACGTCTTTATTCAAATACCACATCAGAGAAGCCTGCCCTGGCCACCCCAATTAAAATTGCAGCACCCCTCAATCCTAACATCCCCTGCCCCCTCCTTTATTTTTCTCCTTGGCATTTATCACTTTTAACATACTATATAATTTACTTATTTATCTTTTTATCTGGCTCCTGGGATGACAGCAGCGCTATCCAGTAGAAATATAACGCAAGCCAAATGTGTAATTTAAAATGCCACAGTAAAAGTGGAAAAAACTCAAAAGGAACAAGTGTTGTTAATGTTAATGATATATTTTATTGAACCCAGCATATTCAAAATAACTATCATTGGCATGTATCAATCATCACATATAAAAAAATACTAATGAGTTTTTTGTTGTACGAAGTCTTTTGAAATCTGGTGTGGTGCTTAGAAGCCCATCTCAGTTTGGACTCTCCATTTCAAGTGCTCAGTAGCTGTGTAGGGTAGTGGTTCCCAAGCTGGCAGCACTGGGCTGGCAGGTAAATGTGTTTGTAGGCAAGGGTTTTTTGCTGGCTTGTTCTTGGATGCATGGCCAATGCCTTGCCTGGCTGGGCCAGGCTTATTAGAGAATTATTGAATGAATGAATGAATGAATGAATGAATGAGTGAAATTAGTAAAGGAGATCCATGGGCCCATTTTGCAGATGTGTTGAAAGAGGTCTGGCGAAGAAAAGCTGCGGGGACTGATGAGGGGGATCTGGGCTGGGGACAGAGCCCCACCTGACCTGCACCCTTCTCTCCCCTTGCAGACCATGGCCGCAGCGACCTTGTCGGTGCCTGGGCGGAAGGTGGCCCCCAGGCCCAGCCCAGTGCCGGAGGCCGCCCAGCCCTACCTGTTCACGCCCAGTGGGCCAGGCATGGGGGGCGCGCCCGGGGGCGCAGGCACCTCGCCGCAGGTGGAGTGGACGGCGCGGCGCCTGGTGTGGGTGCCTTCGGAGCTACACGGGTTCGAGGCGGCGGCGCTGCGGCACGAGGGCGAGGAGGAGGCCGAAGTGGAGCTGGCGGAGAGCGGGCGGCGGCTGCGGCTGCCGCGGGACCAAATCCAGCGCATGAACCCGCCCAAGTTCAGCAAAGCAGAGGACATGGCAGAGCTCACCTGCCTCAACGAGGCCTCGGTGCTGCACAACCTCCGTGAGCGGTACTACTCGGGCCTCATCTATGTGAGTGGCGGTGCCCCGGAGGCCATGGCCAGGGGTGGGGAGCTGGGGGTCTGTCCCCACCTTGAGTGGCCTCAGACATTCTCTACTTTGTATCCCGGGTCATGCGACCGTTCCTACACTTAGTTGCCAAATTATAGATTATTGGGTTGCCCAAACTGCCTTGGGCCCCATTGAGGGCTATCCCAGAATATTATACTGTAGATGCTGTGCACCTTATTATTTTCCCTAAAGTGTAAAAAATCCCAGATTTCCAAATAGGACACATCCAGAGGGTTTTGAGAAAGGGATATGGGTCTGCCATAATAATTAATAACAACCACCGAGTGTGGAAAACTGCTCGCCAGGCTCTGTGCTAAATGCCTTCCATGTATTAATTCACTTCCTCTCACTTTACACAGAGTAGAGCCTGTGATTAGCCTCGTTTAATCTAAAAGGAAACTGAGTCCCGGAGAGGTTTTGTAACAATAAACAGTGACATTTATTAAGCAGACACTAGGCACTTGTAAATATATTGTTTTTATACATTTTCTCAATTATAAAGCATTTTGTACCCATTTTACAGATTGGAAAAAACCCGGAGGCACTGAAAGGCCAAGTTCCTTGACTGAGTTTACCCAGTGGGTCATGGTGGACCTGGGTGGTCTGGCTGTAGGTGCCATCCATCTGCTGTGGCATCTCTCAGGATAAAGATGGGATTGATGCTAGTGAGGTTGACTACAGTGATGTCGTGCCTATTGAGCATTTAGGATCTCTCGCATTATTTAATCTTTACAGCAAACAAGTAGAATAGTGAAGGCAGTGGTTCGCAAGCCCGTCTTTGCGAGTTAGAATCACCTGGGGGATTTTTTTTTTTAACATATTAGCTCCCGGGCCCCACCCTACCCGTTAAAACAGATTTCTGGGGCTGTGACGTGGACAATGGTATTTTTAATAAGCTTCCAGGGTGGTTCTAATGGGCAGCCAGAGCGTTATTAGCACAAACAGGATTAAAGGGATTGACAAAGAATGTAGACAATAATAACGAAAAATAATAATAATGGTGGTGAGCAAATATTTATTGAGCACTTACCGTGTGCCAAGTACTGTTCTAAGTGCTGAGTGTGGGTTATCAGCGCACCTCTGGGCTGGAGACTGTTGTTATCACCTGATGTTCAGGAATGTCAAGTGACTTGGGTCCTGGCTCACACAGATAGGAAGGAGTCAGGGTGGGATTTGAACCCAGACAGGTGGCCTCAGAGTGCTACTCGAAACAGCAAGCTTAGAGGGCTGGGGTCTCACCACCTCGAGCTGGCTCCCTCACCAAGAAAAATTTCTTGCTAACACCCTCAAAAGAAAAGTACTAGTTTTATATTTTATATTTGGAAAAAAAATGACAAAACTTTTATACATTGAAATCAATGATGAGATGTACCAATTTAAAAATAAATAAAGTGGCCCCAATATTGCCACTCTGTTAAGGGTTGCAGATCACAAGCTCAGTATATTTTTGTGAAGTCTGACTCCCGTTTGGGAAGGAGGACACAAAGGCTGTGAGAACCAGTGGCTGGCTCGGGGCCCCTCAACTGGAGGAGGCGGTTGTGGGATTGGAATCGAGGGCTGTCTGACCCTGGATGCGGTTGGCACGCTCCCCAGGCTGCACTGGCCCCTGCTGAGTTCTCGCTTGCTTTTTTTGCAAGCCCTGGGAAAGAGACCTCTGCCCAAGCCACTCCCCTGGATCTCAAATGGAAGTGCGATGGAAGATTCCAGAAGACTAGATGGGAAGCTAATTGGATCTTAATAATAATCATTAGTACTTAGTGAGTGCCTGCTTTCTCTGTCAGGTGCTGTCCTGAATTTCCTGGTGTGATCTTGCTGACACCCCCCCCTCAATCCTAACCTTGGGGTGGTGAAGCCATTGGCCCAGCCTTGGGGTGGTGAAGCCATTGGCCCAGCAGTAGTTAACATCTCGTGTTAAGCACGCACCATGTTCCAGGGCCCTTGCCTGCCCCATACGTGCAACATGACGGTTCCCAGCCATCCTATGTGGAAGTGCTGTTCCTGTCCGTCCCCGTTTGATGAGAAAGCGAGATCCAGAAAGCTCAAGGGTGCTTGCTCGAGCCACCAGCCAGAAAATATTAGAGATGTGATCCGGCTCCACCCTGCTAGTGTGCTTTAGAGACATTTGTTGGACTGGCTGACTGGTGATGGGGGAAGGCAGCGTTGCCCAGTGGAAAGTAGAAAGAAACCCAGTTTCTGCCGTCAATGTGCTATTTGGCCTGGTGTCTTGGTCCCTTTGCCTGGATGCTTTGGGCAGGAGGGGAACCTGTCTTGTTGAGCACACACTGTGCTCCCGGCCCTGGGAGGCACCAGAAGGTGCACTGTGGCAGCTCACTCAGAATCTTTCTAGATGGTCAGGGTCAAAAGCCCATGTTCCGGGGCCGGGGACTGAGGCTCAGCGAGGGCAGATCCCTGGTGCGAGTCACACACCAGCTGGAAACCCAGGCTCATGTGGCTTTGAAGCCTGAGCGAGCTTTTAGTGCCCATTTGGGATGGGTAAAAGGAGAGTCTCAGGTCCCATACTTGGAGTACCTTTTAAGGGCCCCGCCTTGGGCTGGCTGGTTTTTATTCATTATCTTCCTTAATCCCCACAGCCTCTGTAATGAGGTGGGGAGGAAACTGAGACTGTGGAGAGAGTCACTGGGCTGGGCAGCTGCTCCAGACCCTTCCAACTGGGTGTCCCCAGCTATGCCCCCTCCACTCAGGTGTCCCCAACCCTCTCTGCGTGCACCAGCCTCTGCCCTTTGCACCCTGGCCTTGGCAGCCAGCTCAGGTTGCCATTGGGCGGTGGGGGGGAGGGGGTGTCCTCCTGGCAACAAGGGGGCTGAGGTGGGAGGGTGGCTTGGGGAGTGGGTTCCCCCGCCAGCCAGGAGTGGGGGCCGGGGCGCCAGCAGCCATGAGATACCCTCCCAGGGAATGTGGTCCGGCTGCCCCGCCCTCTGCCAGCCAGGAGCTCCTGGGAGCAGCTCTTCGAGGCAGGGAGGGCAGACACCCAGCAAACCGGTTGTTCTGCTCCTGGCCCGGCCACCCACCCTCCCACCGTTAAAAGGTTGGCACCTGGGAGCTGGGCAGCCTGTGGTGGCCACACCCTGCTCTGCTTGAGAAGCGCAAGCTGTCTGGGGAGCTTAAAGCAGTCCTGCTACGAACCCACCAAGTAGCTGGCTAGCTGGCTGCATAGCCCAGTGGTTTAACAGTTAACTAGTGAAGCCAGTAAGCCTCTAACTCTTTGGCTAGTTTCACTAGCCAGTTCCAGCTAGCTGAGCCGGTTAGCTCTCTGGGTTGGCTTAGCTGGATGGGCAACTAGCTCTCTAGCGATCCTCCTGTCTCTGTGGCTTGAGTGCCTCCCGTCTACCTGATGCTCCGTGTGAGCTGGAAGGGCTCTTCACCTGTGCCAGGGTCCTGAGCCCGGGCCCATCAGGTGTGAGGTTGAATTCAGGGAGTCTGTAAATTTGGATGCAAGAAAAATGGCATCTTTATTTTCATACAGCTTGATCCTGAAATGTAGCATTTTCTCCAATAGGAGTGTAAGCAGGGCCTGTGACTCTTTTTTGGTAGAAACTACAGATTTGTTCCTGTCATATTTCAGCGGCAGACACTGTGATATCTTCTGTACATTCAAGCAAATACATACAAATATTCCTCTTCCGCCTCATTCAGCGCAAACAGTCCTCACCTTGTTTTCTGTATTCAGTAATGCTTTGGAAAGAATTCCAGATCCGTACACCGCAAGTATCATAGGAATCCATTGTAAGAACATGCATGCAGGTCATTTCCAGACTTCTGCCATTATAAAGAGTGCTGCAGCAGATGAGCTTGCACAGGGTCATTTTATGTGTATGTGTGTTCAGGTGGTAATGGGCTATGACCCAAGTCTGGCTTGCTTCAAAGGCCGCGTTCTCTATCAGGGTGAATTCTTATCCTTATAGCACATTTGTGCAATTTCAATAGATTCTCTTCTACCATCAGCCTGAAAGCCTTTGTAAAAAATGGTCAAGTCTACATTGTCATGATATGAATGGCAGCCACTTTGATGGATGTTATTGTGCAGTGCACAACCTACCCAGCTGTACACAGCAGTCCCATGCTACCCTATGGGCCTCAGACAGCCAGCTGAGGCCCTCTTTTTTCTTGCCCACTGCAGACGTACTCTGGCCTTTTCTGTGTGGTTATCAATCCGTACAAGCAGCTTCCCATCTATACAGAGGCCATTGTGGAGATGTACCGGGGCAAGAAGCGCCATGAAGTGCCACCCCACGTGTATGCGGTGACCGAGGGGGCCTACCGAAGCATGCTCCAGGGTGAGTGTGGCGCTGGGACTGCTGGATATGTCTCTTTGGGGTGGGGAGGGGCAGCCTGGAGGGTCATGATAAGATGACGATAAAGGATTTCAGACTCTCTGAGTCTTCATGGGGCAGGAGGAAGCACAAATATAGGGCTGAGTGGACAAGCTCTGGGTCCTACCAGACAGGCCCCATTTTGCCTTTGTGTTCACCTCTTCTCTCAACAGTATCATTTGGGAGCCATTGCTTCTGCAAAATTTTCTTTTGAGACAGTAATTTCTCGTGTTCGTTCATTTAACATTTATGTTGTTGACATGATCCACATTGTCATGGAATTAATCAGTCCCTTAGATGATGGGCAATGTGGGGTCACTGTGTATAGCTGGGCGGGTTTCACAAGAATGTCCAGACAAAATTACATAATTCACATCTACTACATATAATCTAATTGCTATAAATTATTAGATATATATTTTAATATTTTGTTTATATTAAAAAGCATATTAAATATTTAAGAATGCATGTCTTACCATCATATGATATATAATAGTATGCAGCAATATATTTATATGGTATGTATTATACTTCTATCACAGATCATATGCTATAGCTCTATTGTAGGTTCTTTTTAAAAAAATTTTATTTATTCATGAGAGACACAGAGAGAGAGGCAGAGACATAGGCAGAGGGAGAAGCAGGCTCCCTGCAGGAAGCCCAATGTGGGACTAGATCCCAGGACCCTGGGATCACGGCCTGAGCCAAAGGCAGATGCTCAACCACTGAACTGCCCAGGCACCCCTATTGTGGGTTCTAATGATGCATTTATATTGCATAATGCAGCGGTTCTCAGAGTGTGGTGAGAATCAGCATCCCTGGGAACTTGTCAGAAATGCGAACCTGGGCCCCACTCCAGACCTGCTAAGTCAGAGAAACTCTGGGGGTTTTACAAGCTCCCCGGGCTCCCTTTGGAGATCCTAATGCTGGCCCCAGGTTCGAGAACCACTGATATAATATCCAATATATCATACACTTGCATTGTGTAGTAGAACACATTTATAGGCAACGTTTTTGTATTCACATTATGAATTTATATTTGATCATTGGTCACACTTATTTCCTTCGGTTACATAATCTAATTTGTTATATACTTATTTCTGCAATAATTTTTAGCCATTATTATATATTAGTTACTATACCTTAAGAATAAATAAATGTACGATAAAGCTGAGGTGAGTGGCTACTCTGTGCCAAGCACTTTTCATGAGTTGACATGTTTAACCTCAGAATGAGTGACCTCGTAAAGTAGATGTGCTCATTATCCCTGGTTTCCAGATGGGGAAACTGAGGCACAGAGTAGTGAAGGCATTGTCTACAGTCATACTGGTGGGTGGGTGGCTGAGATGGGACTTGAACCCAGAGCCCCCAACCTCCGCCTCCCTGTATTTAGGGAGTGTGTGTTACATCCTCACCCTGGGCTGGGTGTTGTGGGTTTTGCTGTTGTGACCCACCTGCTCCACCCCAGCTCAGCTTCTTGCTTGCTGTGTGATGCTGGCACAGCAGCTGTCCCTCTCTGAGTCTGTTTTCTCAAGTGTAAAATGGAGATGATGAACCTCAGCTAAACAGAATGTGATTCATTCAACCAGTTACAATTTGAGTCCATACTATGTGCCACTTCATGCTGGATGTGAGAGATTCCAAGATGCAAGAGGGAGATCCTTCTTTAACACCAAACAGGCCACAAAACAGCATTATAGTATATAAAAACTTTTTTGGACGTTCTCTGAGTTCTGACTACAGCCCTATAAGGCTGTTTGAGCTCTGTTTTTTTTTTTTAGCTCTGTTTTTGAGATGGAGAAACTGAGGCACAGAATATCTCAGAGACAGGCCCAAGGTCACACAGCAAGACAGAGGGGGTGCTGGGCCTTGAACCCACGTCCATATGGCTCCCAAACCATCTGGCTCTCCCTTGGGCTTAAAACCACCTGGAGGCCTCCTGCCCCATTTAAAAACTGTCCAGAAAAAAAAAATAAAATAAAAAAATAAAAACTGTCCAGATTTTTTTTAAAAGATTTATTTATTTGAGGTGGGGGAGGGGCGGGGCAGGGCAGAGGGGGAGAGAGAGAGAGAGAGAGAGAGAGAGAGAGAGAGAGAGAAACTCTCACGCAGACTCCCTGGTGAGCATGGAGCCTGACATGGGGCTCAATCTCACGACCTCAAGATCATGACCTGAACCAAAATCTAGTTGCACACTTAACCAACTGAGCCACCTAGGTGTCCCCAAAACTATCCAGATCTTTTAATCATGGCCTCCAAACCCATCTGCACAATGTCCAGCTCTGCCCTGTCCCCCAGCCTCTCTGGTGTCCTTTCTGTTTCTCTGACATCTCCAACTTGGTCTCGCCTCAGGGCCTTTGCACTGGCTGTATCCTCTGCCTGGAATGCTCTTTCTCTGCTTCCTCATCTTTTAGGGCTGAGCTGAAACACCCCTTCTGGGAAGCCTTCCTGGCCCTCCACCCCTCAGTCTTCTTACTATGTTACACCAGAGCTTCTTAATTCTGGCTTTTTTTTTAAAGATTTTATTTATTTATTCATGAGAGATATGCAGAGAGAGAGAGAGGGAGGGAGAGAGAGGCAGAGACACAGGCAGAGGGAGAAGTAGGCTCCATGCAGGGAGCCCGATGTGGGACTTGATCCCAGGACTCCAGGATCATGCCCTGGGCCGAAGGCAGCACTATACTGCTGAGCCACCCGGGCTGCCCTTAATCCTGGCTTTATTGGCATTTGGGGCTGGATGATTCTTTATATAGGGGCATCTCATATGTTGTAAGATGTTTGGCAGCCTCCCTGAGCTCTACTCAGTAGACCCTTGTAAGGATCTCCCGGTTGCAACAACCAAAATGTCTGCAGACACTACCTACTGTCAAATCATCTGTGGTTTTATATATGTGCTTTGTATCCCCCTGACTTGAGCAGAAGCTCCATGAGGACAGGGACTTTGCCAGTTCCCACTGTTGTAGGTGCCTGGCACTTAGGAGGCTGTCAGTCACATCAGATGCAGGGCGAGTGCTCGGGGAGATGGTGGGAACCATGCTGTGCCCTCTGCTGGGCAGAGATCCCCCCGGACCACCAACCACTGTCACTACGCTGTTGTGGCCTGTTTTCCATCAGAGGCTGAGCCTTGGGGTCCAGGACATTGCTGTTTTGTCTTTTGCATCTCACGTACCCAGCATGAGGTGGCACACAGTAGGGGCTCGGATTGAAGGTTGTTGAATGCATTACATTCTGTTGAGTTGGAGTTTATCAGCTCCATTTTACAGGTGAGGAAACAAGGCCAAGAGAGGGAGAGCTACTTTGCCAGCATCACATAGCTGAGTTGGGGTGGGGTGTTAGAATCCAGGAGTGTCACACATCAAAACGCTTTTGCGAGGAGGGGTGCCCGGATGGCTCAGTTGATAAAGTGTCTGCCTTTGGCCCAGGTCATGATCTCAGGATCCTGGGAAGAAGCCCTACGTCGGGCTCCCTGCTCAGTGGGGAGTCTGCTTCTCCCTCTGCTCATTCCCCTGCCCCCTGCCCCACTTGTACATGCTCTCTCTCTCTCTCAAATAAATAAAATCTTAAACAAACAAACCTTTTGGGGGGCAAAAGACTTTTCCTTACCCCTTTGAAAAGGGTGTGGTATAAGAGGTCAAGGTCCCACTAGAGAGACCCTCCAGCTGACATGTCCACTTCTGTCCCTTACAGATCGTGAAGATCAGTCCATTCTCTGCACGTGAGTAATCCTGAAGGGCTTCCTGGAGGAGGCGGGGCCCTGGCTGGGTGTGGCTCTGCTCAGAATGGGCAGGTCTGACCTGGCATCCCTGTCAACCCTTTCTGCTTCCTCCTTGCACCCCACCCCCACCCCACAGCGGGGAATCTGGGGCTGGGAAGACAGAAAACACCAAGAAGGTCATCCAGTATCTTGCCCACGTGGCATCATCACCAAAGGGCAGGAAGGAGCCAGGTGTACCGGTAAGTGACCTGCCTCAAGACACTCTGGGCCCTGCCACCAGCAATACCCCCTCCTCTGTCTGAGACCCTGCTTGTCCCCATAACCCCCTGCCTCCCTTAGGAGGCCCGTGACTGTGAGCCATCTCTTGGCTACCTCTGCTGCCTGTGCACCTAGTGTGTGTCTGATACAGGGCTAGGAGTGGAGGTAGGATGGAAATGGAAATTTCAAGGGCCTGATCTTGGCTTCATCAGACCTTAGGACAGTACCTGGCACCCAGTAGGTGCTTATGGTCCTGAGCACCTACTATGTGCTGGGCCTGATTTAGTGCACACTTACATAGTGCCCATCTCTGCTTCCATTGACTGAACACCCCATGAGCGGGTGGTGTTTTCTTGTGGTTGAGATGAGAAACTGAAGGCATGGCTGGGCAGGAGTCTGCTGTTGGAGAGTCTGCTAGAGAGGATTCAGACCCGGGCCACCCTACTCCACCTGCCCAATTCCTCCTGCACCCCATGTCTCCCCTGCTGCCCGCCACTCACGACCGCCGGTTCACCTGTGTGTCTGTCCATGTTGCATGTGCCGTGTCCTGGTCTGTGTCCCGGTCCGTGTCTCGCGTCCCGTGACTTCCTCAGGCTTCCAGCATCGTGTCTTATGTGAGTAGCAGGGGACCACCTCAAATCATGCCACCCCTCATGCCCCCTGGGTCAGCCCCCTCCATGGGCTTCCTGGCAGATAGGCCCCAGGGCACTGATGGCCATCAGGGAGCCATACTGCCACTTGTAGTGGTCCTACTGTGTGCGTGTTAGGCCCCATGCTCTCATCTAATGCAGCCCTAGCGTGTGTGCACAGGGCTTCCTGGTATTTACGGCAGCCCTGTGCATGCACACATTCACAACCCATGTTGCCATGAAGGGCTGTCCAACTGTGTGCATGTAGCCTGGCCACAGATGCCAACGTGAAATTACCCGGGGTCTGAACTGTCATTTATTGCTGATCTGCTAAATGTGTGTAGATCAGGCCGATGGGTGCAAAGATTCCCACAGCCCAGAGCCTCACACTGCCGTTATCACAGCTGCCTGGATACACCCAGGTCAGGCTAGTGTCTGAGGACTCACAGGAATTTACGGAAAGAGTTGATGCCTTCGAGAACCTACCTGGGGGCAGGAGGGGATTGCTGTCTCCTGAACACCCATGGTCCTCCTGGCTCTGCCACTTAGGTGGCCACAGGGAAGTTCAGAGTCAGAGCCCTCCCATGGAGCAGCCTGACTGGGGAAGGAAACTGCCATCTCATGAATGCCTACTCTGTGCTGGACAGTTGGAAGGACATTCATACTGATGGTATAGTTGTTTTTTTTAAAGATTTTATTTATTTATTCATGAGAAACACAGAGAGAGAGGCAGAGACATAGGCAGAGGGAGAAGCAGGCTCCATGCAGGGAGCCCGATGTGGGACTCAATGCCATGACCCCAGGATCACAACCTGACCCAAAGGCAGATGCTTAACCGCTGAGCCACCCAGGTGCCCCTAGATTTTTTTTTCTTAATGAATCCTGCAAGCGATACACAAGTGCTTATCTCTTATAACAACAGAAAAAGATAAAATGAATTTCCCCCTTTGTCTTCTCCATTGCACTCTTGGCAGTTTGGTGTGTGTCCTTGTAGACCTTCCACTCAATGCTTCTAGATGTGTGTCTATACCTGGAGAAGTAGGAGTCTTGTTTTTGTGGTGTTTTTTTTTTTTTCCTCAATTTATTTTTCATTAATGGAATCACACTGGAGGTATCGCTCTGCAACAGGTTTTTGCTGTTTTGCTGTTTCTACTCCACGATGTATCCCGGAAACCATGTATCCCGGAGACATTTCCTGTTCCCTTAACAGTAAACTAAAGGGCAAAAGCCGGATGCGGGGAAGCAGCCCCCATGCAGACACACAGAGGCCTCTCACACTCAGACCCCAGACAGTTGTAACACAGACCAACAGACTACCGCCCCCCCACCCCCTGCCCACCCCAGCCCCTGTTTTCACTAATGGGTCCTCTCCCCGCCCCACAGGGTGAGCTGGAGCGGCAGCTGCTTCAGGCCAACCCCATCCTAGAGGCCTTTGGCAACGCCAAGACTGTGAAGAATGACAACTCTTCCCGATTTGTGAGTGCTGGGGGAGGGCAGAGCCTGGCCCTGGGAGCTCTGGAGGTGGTTAAGCAGGAAGGGTGGGCTGACTGAGGGAGGAGGGGCTGGGGGTTCAGACTTCAGGGTCTGAGGGAGGAGGGGGCTGAGGGCCTGGGTCCCGTGGAAAGCAGTCAAAGGGGCCCAGACCTTGGATTCCCCAGGGAGCCCCTGGCTGGGACTTCACAATTAGGGTGGGGTTCAGGTGGAGGGAGAAAGAAAGTGAGATGCAGCCCTAGCTCTAGGAGAGGTGAGTGTGGGTTAGGGATGCCCTTCAGGTCCACTGTGGGGAAGAAGCCCCTCAGCTAACCCCAACCCCTTCCTTCCCAGGGCAAATTTATTCGCATCAACTTCGACGTGGCTGGGTACATTGTGGGCGCCAACATCGAGACCTGTATCCTCACATAGCCCACAAGACACCTGGTGGCCAAGGAGGGTGGGCCTTGGGATCTCACTGCTTACAGGAAACAGGTGTCTACACACACGGGGAAGCCTGGCTCCCTGATGTTTGGAAACTGTACCTCAGTTTCCCACTCTTGAATGGAGAGGAACCTGGGGAAGGCAGAGATGCATTATCTCCCGGTGCAGGAAGGAGGGTAGGACTGCAGTTGCCCTGCTGTGGGGCGGCGGGGCAGCTGTGGCTTATCACAGAGAGAGGACATAGAGCACAGGCCGCAGGGGGTAAGGCATGCGGGGCCAAGTGGGGGAGAGACCAGGGCCAGCTTCCAGAGTCCCCTCCCCGTGGAGTCACACAGGATGGGCAACATGTGAGGTGTTGTCCACCAAGGACGCTCCTTAGAGACCCTGTCAGCACCCCCAGGTTTTCAGTAGGGGCCGGTCATGTCAGCTCCCCTGGCCTGGCATGTGCCAACATTCCAGACTCCCCGGAGGAAAGCAGGTGTTCAGCAGAAACCACATTGTTTGCACAAACTGCTTAGGCACAAGGAGCCCCCTCCTGTCATTCGGGGAGTGTGGGAACTCTCCCGAAATCCAGCTTCCCAGATCCTAGCCCTGGGCAGCTGTGGGAGCAGACCATTTCAGACCTGTTGTGTCATTCCTTCTCTGCATAGGCTACATGCAAGCTCACTGGGAATTTTTAATTTTTTTTTTATTTTTAAAAATATTTTATGGGGCAGCCCGGGTGGCTCAGCAGTTTAGCGCCGCCTTCAGCCCAGGGCCTGATCCTGGAGACCCAGGATCCAGTCCCACGTCGGGCTCCCTGCATGGAGCCTGCTTCTCCCTCTGCCTGTGTCTCTGCCTCTCTCTCTGTGTGTGTGTCTCTATGAATAAATAAAATCTTTAAAAAAATTTTTATGTATTTATTCATGAGAGACACACAGAGAGAGGCAGAGACGTAGACAGAGGGAGAAGCAGGCTCCCTGGGGGGAGCCCGATATGGGACTCAATCCCAGGACCCCAAGATCATGCTCTGAGCCAAAGGCAGATGCTCAACCACTGAGCCACCCAGGCACCCCTAGCTTCTTTTTTATATACTCACATTTGTCTCCACCGGCTGCTTCCAGAAGTGAACTTTCTTCATCCACACTCCCCTCTAGTTGTGGCTCCCCGCATGGGGTACGGGGCTCTCAGGCATGGCCCTCTGTGCCTGGGGCCACTGAGCAGCCTGTGGGGAGATGCTCACGGGGCAGGTGCCACCCCCAGGCCAGTCGGATGAGTCTCGGGCTCAGCCTGACCCCTCAGCCCTGGTGTCAGCCTGGGCAACATTTCTTGAGGGTTTATGCTGCACCTAAGGCTGTCCTGAGAGCTCTCGCTCTGTGATCCCAGCCCCTCTTCCCTGTACCCCTCATCATCCCATTTAACAGAAGTAGAAACCAAGACTCAGGGTGTGTGCTTCCCCCACGCCCCATCCCTGGTGGGATCCCCTCCCTAAGTCCTCCCCATCTTACCTGAGCAGGTTAGTGAACCAGGGCTCTTGGTCAGTGATTTGCAGCAGACCCTGGGCAAGGCTCCCCGGGGTAGGTCCTGTGTTACAACTGTCATGCTGAATCGGTGCTGTGTGGACTGTGAGTGTGGGGCATGGAAGGGCAAACAAGTCATCAGGTGTTTTATTTTAAGGTGGCTTTCCGATTTCTAGAGCATAGCTGTGCCATGTGACTTTCCTAGAAGGGAAGAGCCCATAGCCTCACTATCCATCCAGGGAAACTGAGGCCAGCAGGGTAGCTATGGCCAGAGATACTCTTCACTATGGTTAACTACAAGCCATACGCTGCTCTTGGATGTTTGACACATAATAATGCATTTACCCTCACAGCAACTCATTCATGGGTGTTACATGGAGCCTCTTGCACATATAAGGAAACTGAGGCACGTGTGTGCTTAAGTGACAGGCCCAAGGCCTGGGCTGTGAACAACTCCACGGCTTCACAGGATAGCAGGGGGTGCAGCGTCGGTCAAGGGGGCTGGGTGGGCTCCCCTCGCCACCCCGCCCCTGTGGGACCTTGACTCCCAGCCGCCCAGACCTGTTGGAGAAGTCCAGGGCCATCCGCCAGGCCAAAGATGAGTGCAGCTTCCACATCTTCTATCAGCTGCTGGGAGGTGCTGGAGAGCATCTCAAAGGTCAGTGCTGTGGCTCCCAGGGGGACTGGGAGGGGGCCCAGGATGTGCCCCAGGAGGAGGATCTGAGCTCCTGAGAGGAACTGAGTAGGATTTGTTGAGCACCTGCTGTGTAGGTCAGACTCCTGCTGAGCAGTGGATTTTGGTACCACCCTTCCCCAGGGAGCCCGCTGCCCCCGGTTTCTGCTGTGTCGTGACTCTGCCATCAGTGATTTTGACTGAGTAGAGAATCCTGCCACCCCTGGCCCACTCTGCTGGCTGACCCCTCCTGCTCTCTGATCCCACCTTCCCCCCATGTGGCTCCTGCTCACATTCCTTCTCTTCTGAAACTCCAAGGCTTCTGCTTATTCCAGCTTGTGTTACACCCATGACTCCAGCTCTGCTGCAGGTCCTGCTGCCTCATGGTCCTGGAGGTCTTGGTAGTCCTGGTGGTCCTGGTTTTTGTGGCTTTCGGCACCCTGTGCTTCACCTGGTGCCTCACCTTGTCCCTTTACCCTTGCTCCTGCCTGAGCTTCCTCCTGGCTTCTCATTGCTCCTCCTGGCCTCTGGCTGAAGAAAATCCAGGGCTCTTCTTTACAAGGGTGCCTGCTGTCCCGAGGCTCCTTTCCCCAGAGCTTTGGCTGCCTCCTGGCCCCTCCTTCCCAGACCCCAGGACTCACATATCCTCTGCTGCCAAGCCCACTGCTGTCCCACAGCTTTTGCTAACTCAGGCACCTATAGCTTCGTTGCTCCTGCCTGCTCTGGACTGTTCTAGGACTTGACAATCTCAATGGAAGGAGGGAAGATGAAAGGGTCCAATGTGGGCTAAGCACTCCCTCCAGGCCTGGCCCTTCCCATCAAATTATGAGGAAAGGATCCTCACTCATTTGACAGAGGAAGAGACCAAGGTCCCCATTGGAGGAAGAGAACACTGCCCCAGGGTGGCCATCGGACGTGAGTTGGACTCCACAGCTCACCCTTGACCTTCGCCTCCACTCATTACCCCCTGCAGCTGAACTCCTCTTGGAGCCATGCTCCAACTACCGCTTCCTGACCAACGGGCCGTCATCCTCTCCTGGCCAGGAGCGGGAGCTCTTCCACGAGACGCTGGAGTCACTGAAGGTCCTGGGATTCACCCCGGAGGAAATCACCTGTGAGTGAGCCCTGAGCAGCCCCTCCATGAAGGGTGGAGCTGGGGTGGCGTATGGGCAGGTGGTGAACCTGGACACACGGTCCTCAATTGGGAAAAAGAAACAGGCCAGAGGAGGGAATCGGGAAGGGGACACCAAGATGATGACCTTTGAGCCAAGGCTTGAGGAGCTGAGATGGTGAACACTGGTGCTAGCACGGTGTTACCCCACAAAAATAAAACAGTGGGTTATTTTACCAGCCAAATGGATTTATCCAGGAAAGCAGAGAATTGTAAATTGGGACAAGTAAGCTGCGGCAAAACCATAGACAAATCTAGCAAGGGACAGGAATTTTATCTTAAGGAGAAGAAAAGGAAATCGGAAGAGGTTGTTCTGAACGAAAGCCCTCTGGAGAAAAGCAAGAGTTCAGGGTGTTGACGGTTTCTCTGGCGGCCAATTTCTTGTAGGCGATGCAGTGTACATCTTTCCCTGTTGGGGCCTGTCACTGAGGATTCTTTCCTGTTGAGGATTCTTATGTTGAGGTGTTTACTTGATGTTGAGGCGTGTGGCTCCTCCTTCCAGCTTCCCCTCCTAGCCTCCTGAGTCTGCCTTAGTGAGGTTTCCCTTACTAATTTTCAGAGAGAGATAGAAGAGCATTCTAGGCAAGGAGGGATCAGTCTATGCAAAGGTCCTGGGGCAGAAAAGGCATGGCGTATTGAAGGAATTGAAACTTCTATTTTTTTTTAAGATTTTATTTATTCACAAGAGACACACACAGAGAGGCAGAGACATAGGCAGAGGGAGAAACAGGCTCCCTGCAGGGAGCCTGATGTGAGACTCGTTCCCAGGACCCCGGGATCACAACCTGAGCCAAAGGTAGACACTCAAACACTGAGCCACCCTGGTGTCCTACTAGAGCATATGTTTTGACAGTCGTTCTGTTGAAGTACTGTATTTGTTTGCTTGGGCCGCTGTAACAAAGCACTGCAAACTGAGCACCTTGAACAACAGAAATGGATTGTCTCCCTGTTCTGGAGGCCAGAATTCTGAGCTCAGAGTGTTGGTAGGGTTGCTCCATCTTGGGAGAATCTGTTTTTTCCCTGTCCTGCTCTCCCAGATTCTAGTGGTTTGCTCGCAATCTTTGGTGTTCCCTAGCGTGTAGAAGCATCACCCAAGCTCTGCCTTTATTTTCATGTGGCTTTTCCCTGTGCGCATCTGTGCATTCAAAAGCCATTCGTCGTGTTGGATTAGGGCACCCCACTCCACTGTGCTCTCATCTTGACTTAAATAATTAAATCTGCAATGACCCAATACCCAAATAAGGTCACATTCTGTTTTTTTTTAATTTTATTTTATTTTTATTTAAATTTCTATTTATTTATGATAGTCACACAGGGAGAGAGAGAGGCAGAGACATAGGCAGAGGGAGAAGCAGGCTCCATGCACCGGGAGCCCGACGTGGGACTCGATCCCAGGTCTCCAGGATCACACCCTGGGCCAAAGGCAGGCACCAAACTGCTGCGCCACCCAGGGATCCCCAAGGTCACATTCTGGAGAAGTCTTGGGGACTTAGGACTTCAGCGTACCTCTTTTTGGTGGAGAGGGTACAATTCAACCCATAACATATACATAGAGGGGACCTCAGACTTTTTTGCAAGTCCCCGACTGTTGATTATTTGGACCAACCCTGAGTCCTGCTGAGGCAGACTCTGAGGTCTGGGGCTGGGTGGTAGACCCGGGTCTCTTACTCCCCGGGTCTCTAACACCACGAGAGGCCCCGGGAACTCTTGTGGGCTCCAGGGCCAGCTGGGAGGGCTGGAAACCGAGCGCCAGCTTGGCTGTCTCCCCGGGCTGCAAACAGGCCGGCCTTCTTGGGAATATTGACACAGGGTCCCAGGCCTCCCCTGCTGGATTTCCCAACCATGGTTGCGAAACTTCCTCCGCCTGGGAGTCTCTGTTCTCCTCCCTGGGGCAGCTGGCAAGAAAATCCAGATGGTAGCCATGGTGGGGGCCTGGCCTCCCGACAGAGATCACCTCAAGTAACCCTCCCCGCGGCCGCCCTGCTGTGTGGTGGATGCACGGGGCAGCTCCAATTTTTGCAATTCTGAAGCAAAACTTTCGAGATGACATGTGTGTGGTGACATAATCCGAAGGTGCCAAAGGTCATAGTGTAGAAACTAGGTCCCATGCAGCGCCCTGAACCTGACTTTCCCGCTCTTTGGCTTCCCTCATCTCCTCCCAGGAATATTTTAGACATCTAAGAAAGGACACACACTTTTTTTTTTTTAATAAAACCAGGCATTCCATAGCCCCAGGGCTGGTATTCAGCTGTACTGGTGATTTTAAAAGAATGGTAAATATTTCTCTACTGAATTTGAAAGTTTCCTCAAAGGGGCATCTGGGTGGCTCAGTCAAGGAAGTGTCAGACTCTATCTCTGCTCGGGTCTTGGTCTCAGGGTCATGAGTTCAAGCCCTATGTTGGGCTCCACCCTGGGCATGGAACTTACTTTAAAAGGTGTCTCTCCCCTCTCCCCCACTCCCTGCCCCAGGCAGCTGTTGCTCCAAGTGGGCCTTATCTCCCTGACCTCCCTCCCAGGACCATCCCAGATACAGCAAGGAACAGTTGAAAAACACTTGACACGTGCTCAGGTGCTCAGGTTAAGGACTCAGCTCATCACCCCTGTGCTAGTGCACTTCATTCCCACTTTTCCCAGCAGACAGTATATTTTAGCAGTAATTCTCGTCTTGTAAATATAGGTAAACTTCAATGTGTGTGTGTCTGCGTAAGGTTTCATTGTTTAAATGGACTATGATTTTTTTTTTTAAGATTTTATTTATTTATTCATGAGAGACAGAGAGAGAGAGGCAGAGACAGGCAGAGGGAGAAGCAGGCTCCCCACAGGGAGCTGAACGTGGAAACTTGATCCCAGGTCCCCAGGATTACACCCTGGGCTGAAGGCGGCATTAAACCACTGAGCCACTCAGGCTGACCAACTATGATTCTTTTTTAATAAAGATTTTATCTATCTATCTATCTATCTATCTATCTATCTATCTATCTATCTATTTGAGAGAGAGAGACAGAGAGACAGAGAGAGAGCATGAGCAGGGGCAGAGGCAGAGGGGAGAAGCAGACTCTCCACTGAGCAGGGAGCCTAGGTCGGGGCTTAATCCCAAGACCCCAGGATCATGACCTGAGTCCAAGGCAGATGCTTCACTGACAGAGCCCCCCAGGCTCCTATAAATAGACAATGAGGATCCCTGGGTGGCGCAGCGGTTTGGCGCCTGCCTTTGGCCCAGGGCACGATCCTGGAGACCCGGGATCTAATCCCATGTTGGGCTCCCGGTGCATGGAGCCTGCTTCTCCCTCTGCCTGTGTCTCTGCCTCTCTCTCTCTCTGTGACTATCATAAAATAAATAAATAAAAAAATAAAAATAAAATAAATAGACAATGATTCTTTTAACCAGTCTCTGTCCCTTGTGGACAAACTTTTATTGTATTTGCACTCATTGCTATTAGAATGATCCCTCCCCCACCCCCAAAAAAGGTGCCAATAATATCCTTGTAAGTAGCTCTCTCTGTATCAAAAGAACTGTAGGATCAATTCTTCAAAAAATGCTGGATCTAAGGAGAAGGTGCAGTTTTGTTCTTAATCCAGCTTTTTTTTTTAATTTTTTTAAATTTATTTATGATAGTCACAGAGAGAGAGACAGAGAGGCAGAGACACGGGCAGAGGGAGAAGCAGGCTCCATGCACCGGCAGCCCGATGTGGGATTCGATCCCGAGTCTCCAGGATCGCGCCCTGGGCCAAAGGCAGGCACCAAACCGCTGCGCCACCCAGGGATCCCCTTAATCCAGCTTTTACAGAAGTGTAACAACCATACTGAGCTACAATTTGCAGACCAGACCACTCACCTGCTTAAAGCTTACAAGTCAGGGGCTTTGGGTCCATTTCCAAGGTTGGGTGCCCATCTCCAAAGATGAGTCTAGAACATTTTCAGTGGCCCAAGAGGATACCTGGCAACCATTCGGTGGCTTCCTGTGTCTCTGGATTTGCCCATCCTAGACCTTTCATGTCAATAGGATCACACAATACCTGGGTCTTCGAGGCTGGCTTCTTGTACTCCACATGACAGTTTTGAGCTCATCCATGCAGTGGCATGTCGGCTTCATTCCTGTTTATTGCTGAATAGTTTCAATTTTTATCTTTTTATTATGGGCACCAGATCTGATAATCAACCATTCACTGTGGCTTCTTGGGTTTCGACTCCATCTCCCATCCCCCCACCCCCACTCTGACCGTTTTTTTTTAAGTTGTAGGGAATCCACTCTATCACTGTCCAGAAGGTGGCGCTAGTTTCTGTTTCCACTCGCTGTGTCCTTCCAGTGGTTTTCCTACATGCATGCCAGCAACCACTGTTGTAAGCTTTCTGGCTTTTGCTGGTGTGGCATGTGGATGAGGCCTCATAGTTTTATTTGGTGTTTTACTTACAAGGAGTGGAGCCAGCTGGTCACCTTTTTTTTTTTAAGGTTTTATTTTTTTTTATTGTTATTATTTTTTAATTTATTTATGATAGGCACACAGTGAGAGAGAGAGGCAGAGACACAGGCAGAGGGAGAAGCAGGCTCCATGCACCGGCAGCCCGACGTGGGATTCGATCCTGGGTCTCCAGGATCGTGCCCTGGGCCAAAGGCAGGCGCTAAACTGCTGCGCCACCCAGGGATCCCTAAGGTTTTATTTATCATTTATTTGGGAGAGAGAGAGAGTGAGAGAGCGAGCGAGAGCGGGGGGAGCAGAGGAAGAGGGTGAGGGAGAGGCAGACTCCATGCTGAGTGGGGAGCCCAACATGGGGTTTGATCTCATGATCCTGAGATCATGACCTGAGCAAACCAAGAATCCAATGCTTGACTGGCTGAGCCACCCAGGTGTCACACAGTTACCTTTTCATAGTCTCCTTTTGACAGAAGAGAAGACAGGGGTCCAGGGAGATGGGGTATCCACCCTACAACTCACCCCAGTTG